GGAATCTACAAAGGTATTGATTTCTCAACTCACTTTGTTTTGAGTTGAGTCTTGGTTCACCTATCTACTAGGCTTTGAAGTTCATGGGTTAAGTTTTGTTTTTGAGTGCATATAAACATGATTCCGCCTTTTAATTGTTAATTGCATGTTGTTGATGTTGCGCAAATGAACTTGTTTTTCACAAATCTTCCTTCATCCAGGTGACCCAAAATGAGATGGAAGAGGATAAGGAGCGTAGAATGAGAGATAATGAAGCAAGAATGGCCAGAGCCTTACATTCCCGTCGAGTCATCCAAGCTATGGCCCAGATCTGCAGGTCCAACCATTCCGCAAACATTGATAGAAGTAGGCAACGACAAGGTACATATCTCTTGGACAATTATTTTGTCCGTAACAGTGCATTCCCTGATACGTGCTTTAGACGTTGTTTTAGAATGAAACGATATTTGTTCAACAAAATCATGATTGCTGTTTGCAACCATGATTCTTACTTTGTGCAAAAGAATGATGCTTTTGGTGTTCTGGGTTTTTTTCCTGAGCAAAAAATTATTGTTGCCTTGCGGATGCTTGCATATAGAGCATTTGCAGACCAAGTGGATGAGATAGCAAGGATGGGGAAATCAATCATTTTTTAGTCCCTTACGAGGTTTTGCGAAGTAATCCAATCTATCTATACCACAGAGTATCTCCAAAGACCTACTGAAATGGACTTACAAAGACTTCTGAAGAAGGTCGAGATGCGAGGTTTTCTTGGGATGATTGGAAGCATCAACTGTATGCATTGGACCTGGAAAAACTGTCCAAGTGCATAGGAAGGCGCTTATAGGGACAGAAAATGAACAAAAAGTATCATTTTAGAGGCGGTGTCATCTTTTGATACATGGATTTGACACGCCTTTTCAGGGTTTTGGGAGCCCAAAATGACTTTAATGTCCTCGCCCAATCTCCAGTGTTCAACGATATCCTGGAAGGAAAGACACCAAAAGTCACGTACTAGGTCAATAGATATAAGTACGACAGACCATACTACCTAGCAGACAACATTTACCCAAGGTGGTCATCATTTGTCAAAACAGTGCCACGTCCACGAAGTGCAAAGGAAAAACACTTTGCAAGTTGTCAAGAAGGGTGCATGAAGGATGTGGAGCGTTGTTTTGGTATCCTCCAAGCTCATGAAAACTTCTGAACATGCGAGGTGTGATCGGGCATAGAGTGTAGAGGGGTGTTACTCATGAAAACTTCTAGACCGATAGGCACAACTCTGAATTTAGGACAATCTTTGACAATATTCCAACATTTCCATCGGTTGAATGATTTGTTTTTGCTTTTGGTTTTGGCATTATACCAAGCTTATGCTTGAAGTGTCTACACAATGCAGGAGAAGAAATAATTATAGTCAAAGCAGGTAATGTAAATTTGGGTATAGTACAAACAAATAAATAATAGATTGTTACCTGATCCGCTAAATTTTCCCCATTTCAAAGATTACTACTAGCTTGTGCCAAAGCGTCTCTCCACATGCTAAACGATTGGCTGAGTATTCTCCAACGACTGGACATCGATTCTTTGGTTCTTTTCCCACTAATTTTCTCAAGATAATTGGCATGAATAAGACTCCACATTTCTCGCAACTGCATCTCATTACCCGTAATTGGATTAAGAGTAACTTTAACCCAGCTAGTACACAACGTAACATCTTCAATAAACGTCCAATTCGTACCTGCATCATTAGTCATTTTGTTGGAAAAAAATTGGATTGAAACTTTGAGAAAAAGATAGAAATGTGGTTGAAACTAGCTGACAAAATATAAAATAGTGGTGTAAGATAAAAGATAATGAGAAGGTATTTATAGAAAAGTAAAACCATAATATTTTTTTCATTTTTTTTCGAATTTTTATTAAATTTTTACATTTTTTAAAATTTTTTATTCACATAATTAATCTCTGCCGTTAGATTAAAAAAATTGAATTCCAACACTTCATATTGTGCTACGTGGCACAACGGTAAGATTTCAGAACTTTAAACTGTATTTTTTAAATTTATAAAGCAGAATAAAGTGGACCGTTGATCTCATATTCAACTGCTTAAATTAAATAAGCTTTTAAAAAAAAATTTACCGTTGGGAATCCAACGGTCCATAAAATGTTGCTGTTGAAATCCAACAGTAACATCTCAGAACCCCAACTCTGAATTTGTGTCGGCCAACGAGCGCACGCACCTAACGCAAAAAAGAGACAACACATAGTTGACGTCAGCCTTGCATCATACCCACTCTGGGCTCTCGGGCCAGTGATTCCCCACGGGGCTCTTGTTCGGGCCCCCTTTCATCCACACGTCACTGTGGGTTGGAGCATGCAACGCGGGCCATTGGGTTGGTGTGGAAGCTTGTCCATCGGGCTATTGCCCACGATGGAAGTGCTCTAAGGGAGCCCCGGCACAAGATTTTGTTCTATTTTAGGAGTGAAACTTCCAAGGAGAAGACAAATATATGTCTCTCACTAACGATAGTATTTATGTTAAAAGGGTAGGAAAGTGCACTAAGTTTCAAAATAGGTTAGTAATAATGTGATTCAAATTCGTTTTTGATGAAAATCAAGTTTAAAACCTCTCATTTATAAAGTCATAAATAAAGAAAAATATACTTGGTAAAACAATAAAGAAAAATGTTATTAAACCTTAATTATTAAAACTTCTCAGATATGTAAGATATGCTGTTTCAAGAGAGAAGAAGCATTTTGCTTAATTAAATTCCATTTTCTCATCAGTCTCATTATATATAGTCATAGACCACCCTAAACTAGCTAGCTAGACATGTCATACAATGCAGAATCGCATTCCCATCCCCCTCTGTCTCGCTCTCTCTCGGTCTGGATGTCGATAGATGCTAAGACTCAGAGTACGGCCTCATTCATAACCATATGATAGCTTGGCTACGGATGCTAGTAGGGTTGAACATAGGGTGGGGTTGGATTTTAATTTGTTGTTCAATCTATAAAATAGGATGCGGATCCCTTCGGGATCTAAATAGTATTATCACATTTTAACTGTTGATTATAAATCATGTTGTAAAAAAAAATTTAAATTTTTTTTATTTAAAATTAAATACAAATAATATTTAACAAAAAATAATCGTACGATATACGATAAACAGTTATAAAAAAAAGATTTTTATAATTCCAATAACTAGAATCCGAAGAGGATCCTCATCAAATCTAATATATATTCGGATTGACATTTTCATTAAAAAAAAAAAAAGGCAAACAAACCTACCTAAATCATTCTAAGACAAGTTGGGTTGGTCAATTTTCACGGATCGAGATTTCTTTATTATTTATAAGGTGAGTATGTGAGTAAAAAACATGCCAACATATATGTCATATTTAAATTGATGTTATAAAGGCACTATTTGTTACTTAATATATTACTTTAGTTATTAAAATAAGTATAAACAAACAAGTGTTTAATAACTACCAGATTTTATGTATATGTTTATGTAATATACATATATGTTTAAAAACTTTTGATATTCGTGTTGGTCGATTTCCATCAGGTTAAAAATATTTCAACTTAATTCAACCTGTTTATTGAACGAGTAGTTAAATTTTCATCGAAAGTAAAATCTCAAAGTTTCCAACCTAAATCCAATCCGCTTATTGAATGTGTAATCGGATTGATCACTAAACTCACTAAAGTGCCTACTCATACTAGAAGTGATTAATTCGCAAAATTGTATGATAATTGATTATGTCATGCATCCTCTACATATGGAAAACAGAAGAACGCAGGTCTAGATGGTAGCCCCCTTAGGGCTCATGTCTAGTAGTAGCTACATGCAGTCTCTGTGTATGTTGAGGCCTACGTTTCAGGAGACGGCATTTGCATAATTGAATGCATGTACTAATTTACAAGAGTCCCTTCACAATTTCCTCTTTCACTTCATCTTTATGTTTGATAACAGTTGAATACCATATTTCACGATAACCAATACTACAAAATAATAGAATTATTATTAAATAAACGAGTACGTCGAAACGATTACATTATGAATGACTTATTATCTCTGAATAACAAAGTTCTCCATTTATAATAAACTAATTATAGTCCCTAATAAGCAAGGAGACGAGAACCTAATTCAAATGGACTAAGCCCAAATCCAAACACTAAATAAATAACTATTTTCCAACACCTCCCGTCAAACTCATGGTTGTACACGTCCTGAGTTTGTCAACAAGCAGGTGCAGATGCAAGCTCTGTTAGACGGATACGACAAGGTAAACTCTGTTAGGTGTACACGATAAGACAAGCTCCTTTTGACGGACACGATAAGGCAAGCTCTGTTAAACGAACACGATAAAACAAGTTCCATTAGACGGACACAACAAAGTAAGCCCTGTTGACACTAATAAAGCTTGTGTAGCGAATAGCTAGCTATGAGTTGGACTAAATTAAAGGGTGAATGACAACAAACTTCACCAGAGATAGTAATTGAGATTTTGATGTGAGCTACTCACAGGAAATTGAATAAGTCTTCATTGCAACAGCATTATGACTATGCAAGAAAAGCATCAATCCCAACACAATAAAATCTTTTTTGACTCATCAATTCACTGGAAATTTCAGATTTTAGAGGGCACAGCCAGATGGACTGTGTGTTCTCCATCAACCCTTCCTGTTTGAAAATTGACCCCAACTTCAGACTTCAACTACTTTTTTAATTTACTGTTTAGTCGGCCAATTAAATCAGAGAGCATATTATTGACTGGTGTCTCAGGTACTTACTTATATGGTTGAAATTCTGAATAAGAGAGTACCTAAGCTAAGTTACTAGCTCCAAAACACGAAACATAACGCCAAAAAGAGTCACTTAAACTAATTATGCAACGGTGTATGAAAATGTGTAAATATATGATAAAACATGACATTTGGGATACTATTATTTTAGCCGTCTTTTGTTTCAAATAGATCTACTCAACGGCGAAATTTCTTGTGGCCTTGACCAATCCGTCCGAAGGGACAGGTTCACAGTCCACACCTTTTCACATAAATCAGACAGTTTTCATGTTTTCAATGTATTTTTGACAGTTTTCACGTTCTCTATGTATTTTTTTCCCTTTTTTATTGACAGACTCTGAGACTGATTGAGTTGTCAAAAGAAAGACAACCAAAAGGAGCATTCCCCAAATTCCAATCTTCTCCAAGTCATTTTGTTTCTTTGTTTAGGGTTCTGTTTGACAAGAACGCGGACAAGAAGGTCGAATAAATTCATCTCTCCTCTCTCCCTCTCTCTCTCTCTCTCCTCTTGGTAAGAATCTCCCCCCTCCAGAGACCACCAGAATCACTGCCACAAGAAGAAAGAAAGAAACAGTATATTTTGTCTTCTTCCACTGGTCTTCAAACCCTCAAACAGTATATTTTGTCTTCTTCCACTGTTCTTCAAACCCCCCTCTCTCTCTCTCTCTCTCTCTCTCTCTCTCTCTATATATATATATATATATGTCATTGCTTGCATTTTGTCCCCCCGCCACTCACAAAACAGGTCATCACTATTGCCATTTGGATATTTCCAACAAAAATGAAGAGAAAGACATGCTGCATTACTGTAGTGGTTACTCTTCTGTGTTGGGTTTCTGTTACAAGCAGGCCTTTTGCATCCTATGACGTTCCCCATCAAGAAGGTAAAAAGCTACTTGTACCATACTTCTCATGGGAGACTCTCAGCTGTTTCCGGAAATTTATCAGCATATCTCTGTATTTCTCATCACTCTATTTTCGGTTGTATGCTAGAATCCAGTCTTTTCATATAGTTATATGTTTACCCAAATACCTTTTCTTATAGCTAATCAAACAGAGAGAAACCAATATTCCCCAGGAGCTACCTTTGACTCAAAACAGGTACATCTTTGGTTCTCCATCTCTGGATATTATATGTGCATATATAACATATATTATAATATTTGTGTGTGTATATATATATATTTGTATGTGTTTGGTGTATGGATAATTAGGGTTTGTCTTTAGGAAGTTGAGGAAGGCATGGAACAAAGAAAGTATAGAGGGCTGAGTAGGCTGGGGTCAAGACCACCAATTTGTAAGCACCTATGTGGAAGCTGCGAGCCATGTGTTCCAGTTCAGACACGCACAACCACTGACCACTTTGGAGTTCAATATGCAAATTATGAGCCTGAAGGTTGGAGATGCAAATGTGGCTCTACTTTCTTCACTCCATAAAAAGAATTGTGCTGTTTCAAGCGGTTTTCCGGTATATGCTCCGGGACATAGGATACATGCGTGTACCGGAACATAGTAACATTTTCGCTAGCTATTTCAAACTTCAAGCTCTTGCTCTAAAGAGACTTGCGATGTGTAAACTGAAAATTTCGTTTTTGAATATTTTTTGAGCTTTACACAGTTAGGAGTGTAGCTAGACACAGGCTATTTTGGAATTCCCCTTCTTCCTATCCTATCATTGAGATCTGAGGTTCGAGTTATTATCACTGTATAACTTATGACTAGTTCGATATCAACTAATTGTAACTGATCTAATTGAATATTATTGTGTTAAAAAAAACCTGAGATGATTTATGCACAACGCTTTTTAATAAATATATATCGTGTCGATAAGGTATTTGATCTATTGGCAATTAACTTGTTAATAACAAAATGTATCAACCAACATGTTATTGATACATTAACAATGATATCAGTACAAACACGACTTTTAATAAAAGACGGAACTTTCCAATTTTGCTCGTATAAATAGTTTAATTTCCATGTAAGGTACAACTTTACATTACGTAAATAGATAGAGATAACCATAGGCCTTTCTTTCACTGAAATTATTGCCTTTGAAAATTTCCAGTACGCATTTGGAATAATGTTCCTCACCCTCCAAACCAGTTAGAATTTAAAGAAAACTAATTCCAAATCGTCGTGGGGATGGAAAGGTGTATTGTTGGGGAGGCAAGGTTTGGTCCGTGGGATTCGATGGCGGGCTGGAAACGGTGAATCTATTAGGGTGGCTGGTGATCCATGGATACCGAAGCCTCATTCTTTGGGTGTGAATTTAGTCGTGCTTTCTAGTTTGGGACGTCTTTGCAGATTGATATGGCGTCTATGGGGGCGAATGATTTTATGGAGGGTTGGCAGACGTTGGTAGAGCGATTGGATAAGGAGGTGGATGCGGAGTTGATAATGTAGCAGGTGGTGTTTGGTTTATGGCGAATTTGGAAGTGTAGGAATGAAGCTATATTTAATGGAAATAGAATCCTACCCCATGTTGCAATTGATTTATGGCAGCAGCAAGTCAGCGAGTTCAAGGAGGCTATGGCAGTGGAGGCGGGGGAGAGGCAAAAGAGTAGGGACCCAAAGGTGGGTAGTAATGAGACGGATGGGGTTGGGGGTGATGGATTCACATGGACGAAACCCCTCTTTTGCACCTAAAGCTTAACTATGATGCTGCATGGCGGAAAGCTACGAAGGTGAGTGGTGTGGGTCGGGTGCTCCGGGATTTTGCCGGGATACCAAAGCTTGTGGGAGAGGTGGGTAGGGAGAGTTTTGCTGCTGTGACTATGGCGGAGGCTGAGGCGATTAGGCAAGGGATGGAGATGATTATTGCTAGTGATGTTATGAAGCCTGGGATTAGGTTGGCTATGGAATCAGACTCAAAAGGGTTGATCCAAATGATTAACAAGGAGGATGACAAGCTTGTAGAATTGGTGAAGTTTTGCTTTACCCCTCGATAATGCAATCGTGCAACTCACTTGGTGGCGACACAAGCAGTTAAGCATGGGAGGAGATTTGGCGAGGATGAGTTAGGTTTAGAGTTTCTTTTTAATATTTTAATAGAAGATGCAAATGTAGCCGTTCGTATTTAAATTCAATAAATTTCTATCTTTCGACCAAAAAAAAAAAAAATCCAAAACAAGAAAAAAAATGTCGTAGCGTAACAGTGCTTGTCTTTGTATTGTCTGTAAATTACAGTTTGACGTATATAGATTTGTGTGACAAAATGAAAAAGTAAAACTTTTATTTGTATACGTCAAACTGTTATTTGTATGTAAAAAATGTGTCATATATGAAGAACTTGAACATAAGTGCTCGACTACGTGCTTGTGTTCAAGGGCGGATGGAAAAAGGGACCAAGGTGGTCTCAGGACCATCTAAGTCTGAAAAATATACGTATGAAGGTCTTCGGATGACCCTCCAAATATTGGCACGGTCCCTTTTGTGCTTACTAAAATGTGTAGTGTAATGCATGCTAGGTATATCTCGGCATGTTGCGTCGACATCATTCGACAAATTCTCTCTATATCACTCATCAAATTGTTTTGGCATATGACGATATTTGTTGCAATGTGTATAACAAGCCTACCAAGTGAATAAATTGAATTTTTTTTTTGTGCACATTTCGTGCCCTGTTTATATCTAAAAAACTTTTATTTAATGTTGGGCCACAACGTTCAAATTTTGGATCCGCCACTGCTCGTGTGACACACTTGACAAATACGAGACATTTATCTAAAGTGTCTATCAAGTTCCACATGTACGAAACCAAATATTTTCTGCAAACTACAAATGTTGACATGTGAGTAACTCATAATTCAAGTGGTCTCTGCCCATCTAATGCCGCTTGTATTAAAAATGATGTACATTTTCTTAGTAAGTTCGATCGGTGCAAACAAAAGATTATGTAGTATTTGAAGAAAATAAAGTATGAAAGGCTCAGTAAATGGAGTGGGTGTCACGTTTTTCATGGGCAAGTCCATCCTTGAAAATTAAGAACATCCGACTCAAATCACACGCGGTTGGACCACGTGTCAGAGTTCCTCCAGTTTTGTGTGAAAAAGTCACGTCACATCACTCCCCAAACAATAAAAAAAAAAACAAAAACAAAAATTCTTGAGTGCTATTAAGTTTCTTACTTATGTCAAGTATTTATATTTTATTTTATTTATATAACGATATTTACAGAAGAAGAAGAAATGAATTGATTGAGAACTCCTCTATTTTTATATTGCAAAAGATATTTTCTATCCACGATTATTAGCTTGCTGGTGGGTGGGTATAGGTAGCCATAAGCCAACAAGCCCTGCTGCTGCTTTTGCGTTTCCCCTTCTCCTTTTGTAATTTCAAATCCAAAAGTGCTTTTAACCCAACAAATAAAAGAAATTAAATAAAAATAATAATTCAGAAAAAGAACAAAAAAAAAAAAAAAAAAAAGGAAAAGGAGAATCCTAACCTAGATATCCAACAAGAAATAACCCAGAGAGGGGCCAGCGCATCCCTGTCCGTACGAATTTTGTTTGCTTTGCTTTTGCATTATAATTTTTTTTCCCTTGCTTTGCTTTTATTGGATGGACAATCCGATGTCGTTGCGGTTGATTCGGCCGACTGCCTTCTGCTGATGCGGGGTCGTTGTTGTTTTGATTTTTTGGAATCATCGTCCAATTTCTTCCCCATTTTTTGTAGTTTTTGTAATTTTAGGGTTAGGGTTTCGATTTCAACCGATTTGGGCTGCTTTGGAAGATATGGAGCCTCGCGTTGGGAATAAGTTTCGGCTCGGCCGGAAGATCGGTAGCGGTTCGTTCGGAGAGATCCATCTGGGTTTGTTGCTTCTTCATCTTCCTGTTAGTTGTGGATTTGTATGTGATTATGTATGTAAGTAGGTGGTTAATTGTGGGTTTGAATTGCTTGTTTGCAGGTACAAACATTCAGACGAACGAAGAGGTTGCGATTAAGCTTGTGAGTGTTTTTCGTTGTTCCAATTCAGCTACGAGTTGTGATTTTTTATTATTTATTTTTGTGTGATTTAAATGCCCGTTTGCTTGCTTTTTACTTATGTGTTAATTTAAGTTTAATCCGTGGCCTGAGAATTGGTAAGAATGATTCTTTAAGTTCACGGTCTAGTTTTTGTGTTTCGGCTTTCACTTTGCGTTAGTAATGCCGAGGAATCAAACGTTTGCGGAACGACTAGTCCTTAGATCAATTGATTTTTCTGATGATGTTGACGCATTAATGCTAGGAGCTTGCTCTTCAGGCTATTTCCTCGTTATGGCCTGAGTTCCGTGCAATGTATTTGTTTGATTGATTGATTAGTATCTAGAAAATTATTTTAGGTGGATCGTGTTTTTTTTTTTGTAAATAGAGGTCTTCAAGTTTTAGTGGTGGTGTTGAAGTTTCCTTTTATGAACTGTTATTAGCGGGGTATGAAGCTAATTGTCTTGTTGTTTCTTGTACTTAGGAAAATGTGAAGACAAAACACCCTCAGCTGCTGTACGAATCCAAGTTATACAGGATCCTATCAGGAGCAAGTAAGTGAAACTGCTGCATTTTCTAGTTAATCAGCAGTTTCTGTTGCAAGTTTCTGCTGCAGGTTTTCTGATTTCTAAATTTGGTTCTTGCAGCTGGAATTCCAAATGTGAGGTGGTTTGGAGTTGAAGGAGGCTATAATGTTTTGGTAATGGATTTACTGGGCCCTAGTCTTGAAGACTTGTTTAACTTCTGTAATAGGAAACTTTCTTTGAAGACCGTTCTTATGCTGGCGGATCAAATGGTAGGTGTGAGTCGATGCACATTTGCACTTCATCGTATTGGTTTAATATATTTGTGGGGAAGATACTGACTCTTTCTGTGCTTGACATTTATCTCAGATCAGTCGTGTTGAATTTGTCCATAGTAAGTCATTTCTACATCGAGATATCAAGCCAGACAATTTTCTTATGGGCTTGGGAAGGCGTGCAAATCAGGTTTTCTATCTTAATTTGGTGTATACATGGTTTTGTAGGTCTATATATGCTTGTGTTTCGGTGCACATATTTCATATGCCAGTGAATCTATATTAATACGGTAATTGATTTTTCGTTATACGTAGGTGTACATGATAGACTTTGGTCTGGCTAAGAAATACAGAGATAGTTCAACCCGTCAGCATATTCCTTATAGGTGAGATGATGCTTGTTTTTCTGTGTTCTCTAATATGGTCTCCGAATATGATTCTAGAGAAATATAGCAGTAAACTAGAAATGGACTTGCACTACGAGATTTGTAGTTGATGTTATAACCTAACCAAGTCATATTATCATTGTACATCGGTATGAATGGTGCAGGGAAAACAAGAATTTGACTGGAACTGCAAGATATGCAAGTTTCAATACTCATCTTGGAATTGGTATGTCTTAGACTTTAGTCTTTGTTTTTGCCCTTTGTATCCCTTGTAATGTACTTTTGTTCAGTTAAATCCACCATCTGGTTTATTGACATTGATTTAGAAATTCTTTTATGACATTCTGCACTTTGTAGAGCAAAGCCGGAGGGATGATTTAGAATCTCTTGGTTATGTCCTTATGTATTTCCTTAGAGGAAGGTGATTATTTCTGAAGGCCCTTTTTTTTTTTTTTTTTTGTTGTGGTGCTCTCTGTTGATATTTTGTTTAATAGTTCTTTTTGCCTTTAGTCTTCCTTGGCAGGGACTAAAAGCGGGAACTAAGAAACAGAAGTATGAAAAAATTACTGAAAAAAAGGTTTCTACTTCAATTGAGGTATGATGCTTGTGAATGCTAATGTGGTTGTATACAATTCAGGCCTTATGTGTCGCATATTATGACTAGAGAATTTAATGATTTCGCAGGCGTTATGTCGGGGTTATCCGACAGAGTTTGCTTCATACTTCCATTACTGTCGCTCACTACGGTTTGATGATAAGCCAGACTATCTTTATTTGAAAAAAATATTCCGGGATGTCTTCATTCGTGAAGGTTTGAATTCTATTGTCATTACAACGAGCATTGTAAGAGGATTTCTACATTACAGTGAGCGTTCTATTTACACTGATTGTATCCATTGGGTTTTGCTTCAGGCTTCCCGTTTGATTATGTGTTTGACTGGACAATTTTGAAGTATCAGCAATCACAGCTGGCTGTTCCTCCAACCCGTGCCCTTCCTGGTACTGGAACAAGTTCTGGAATGCCCCATGCCGCTGTTAATGCGGACAGACTCGCAGGTACGTTGTTTAGCATTGCTCTAGATGAATTTAAACAGCATTCTTATAGGTAAGTTTATTCGTCACAGCTAGAGGATGGTGGTGTTTGGAGATTACCACATGTTTTTTTTCTCCTATTTGTTTATTTTAAAATTTGACTTGTCCGTATGTTAATATATAAATTTAAGGAATTCTTTGTTCACTTTCGAGTTCGACAACTTATTACTAAAGGTTTTCTGATATCTGGGTGTCATTTCTCCTATATTAGCTTTTTGCATTTTCTAACATTTTACTTCACGGCTTCCATATAGATGAGGAAGATGGGCGGCCAACTGGTTTAAGATCATCGGATGCCTCTCAGCGGAGAATACCTGGACCGGCGCTTAATTCATTGAGCCTTTCGAGGCAGAAGAATCCAATTGCTAATGATGCTTCATTAACTAGAGAGGTGAGATGTTTGGAATGCATTATTTATGGAATTGAAATCCTTTTTGCAGGGTTATATCAAACGGAATAGTTGAGTCTTTATTCGTATGTCTCGAGTCTTGACCCACTTAAGGACGTCCCTGCGTGCAATAAAGTTTGCTTTTATGCCTTGTGACAAAAATCTCGTCCATTGTTGGGCCTTGCAGACGTCAAATAGCAATATGTATGGCCGGTCAGCCGGATCATCAAGGAGAGTTGCTGTTTCTAGCAGCCGCGATGCATTTGGCAGAAGTGAGTCTGACATTCGCCCTCGAACAACCGATGCTAGCCCTGGAGGACACAGAATTTCAAGTGGTCGAAGAAGATCACCAGTTGAGTCATCAGACCCCACCCGGAGACATACATCTCAAACGGGGAACTACGAGACTACCGTTAAAGGCATCGAAGGTCTGCATTTAGACTAGGGTTGGTTTTGGTTTGGTAAGTGTTCCGAAATGGGCTTATTGGAAACCGAACCGAACCGAACAGTTAGGGAAGGAGAAAAAAACCGAAACCGCACCGATTATTTTAGTTTACCGAAATTTGGGTCAGTTTCGGTAAAGGCCCATTTTTTCAGCCCATATTTGATGGGCTTCTAAATTTATGTTGCTTTTCAGCCCAATTTTGTTGGGGTTTTGAATCTTTTCAAATTTTTTGCCAATTCACGTACAAAATTCTACCACCTGAGCTTTGTTGGCAATTTTCATGGACTCTGCCAATTTGCTTCAAAACATTGGCACAATTTTGAGTTTCCCTGCCCTTTTCCATTTCCACCAAAGCACACTCAATGCATCGGCACGCAGATGAGAGACGACAAGCTAGCGAACTAAGAGGATGCAGAATACCGGAACAGTGATCGCTAAATTGTACAATCGTCGATATTCTCTCTCCTTCGCCGGACTGCTTTTCACGCTCGAATATAACTACGATAAACATGAAATTGAATTACTAAAATGAGGGACGCTCTAAGATATCTTAACGATGACTTAATTGGGGAAACAAGGATGTCACATGGAGGCAGCCAACCGAGCTCAGTTGGTACGAGAAAATGTATCTGGAAAGCTAAAAGCTTACTCACTGCCACCGAACAAGATCAATGACAATGACGAACCCCAATTTGCACTGCTGTACGCCATTTCTTTGTGATTTTCCCGGAAATCTTTCATCAGACAATGCATTAGGCAAGGGTTTGCATACATGGCGGAAATCGGAAACAGTTCCGAAATGCATGACAAAGAAAGAGGTAACGAAGATCATATCAAGTTGACAACAAATAATAATAGGCTATTTAGTTAAAATGGTTACTGAAATTGGCATAACTGCTCATTTTGATCTCTGAGATTTGAAATCGATTGAAGTGATTCTTGAGATTGTTTAACATCAATCATTTTGGTCATTCCGGGAAAAATTTCTGTTAAATTGAAGGTATTTTTGTCAAATCAACATCTCTACTTGAACTTGTGCTTTCTTCAATTTAATGGAGATTTTTTCTGAGAATGACCAAAATTATTGACAATGAACGGACCATTTATATATATATATATATATATATATTTAACAGACGATGTTATCTGTAATAAGAGTGTTGTTTTTTTTTTTTTTTTTTGGGGTGGGGGGTGTTTAAGATTACTAAGGAATTTTAAAATGACGGAAATTGAATTGACGAAATTTTATTTTTTAGAATTTATGAATTTTCTTGTTTGGTAAACCTAAAAGAATAATGAAATTGAATACGAAATTTGTTATTTTAAGCTCTCAATCATATAAATTGGGAAATGACATCTACTTACATGGAATTTAAAATTGAGAATTGGAGGTCCCAAATTCCAGGTTTTTTTCTACACAAAAATTTTTAATTCCTATGTTTATGAATCCAAACAAGAGAATTTGTGCATGCCAATTTACAAATTCAGACTTTTATCTAAATTCCAAGTTTATTTTTCTCTTCCAAACATAGTGTAAGCTTCACAATGAGATGTGGTTCAAATTCACATTTGGCGAGAATAGAACCTAAGGCCTCTCACTTACCAATGAAAAAAGATACTATTAGACCGTAGTACTAAAGCCTGATTTGGTATTGAGGTGATTCTGAAAAAAGCTGAGAGCTGTTTTTGTGTTTGGTAAACATTCAGCTTCAGCTTTTTTTCACAGTTTTGAATGAAAAAAAGCCAAAAACAAGAAGCTACAAAACGCAGCTTTGAAAAATTGGCTTTTTTCACATCTGTTTTTACATAAAAGTTTACCAAACACTATAATACTGGTTTTTTTTTTTTTCAAAAGCACTTTTACAAAAAAGTTTACCAAACACTCTGCTGCTTTATTTCACAGCCGCTTATTCTTACAGCACAGTAGAAGCAGCTTTTTTTTCAAAGCACAACAATACCAAACCAGCCCTAAGTGGCTCTATTAGTTTTAAATCTCATGAACCAAATCAACTAATTGAGAACTTTATGCCTATCTTAGAGACTATTTTGACCAAAAACCTACCATAATATTACCGGAAATCGAATACGGAATTCATATTTCAGAACCTCATTCACACCTCCTCCTTGAGGTACATGGGAGATTAACAACGCTAATTTAGTTATATGATGCCTAGAAACTAATTTCATACAAAAATATTATGAACCACCAAAAAGGCTTACATTAAATTTATTTATATAATTTTCAGATTACCAAAAATACACAATATACAAATATTCATAAAAAAATCACATTACAACTTCATAATTTCCAACACAAACACTCCGATTTTACAAATTAATAACACCGAGCATAACTTAAACAATTGAAATAAATAAATAGTGGTACGAATTTATATAATATATATTCAGAAATGATGATTACCGGCCATAGACGACTCTATTACAAGTTTCCTTGAGCCACCGGAAGCTCTTCCGGAGCGACCCTTTGAGCTTCCCTTCCACCGTATACACCTTATAGCTCGCCACCCTCTTCTTCCTCTGCAGCTCCGGATCGCTCAGGCTCCAGCTCTTCGTCGCCGACCCGTTCGCCGACTTCCCCTTCCTAATCTTCTCGCCGTTGTTTCCCGCCTGGGTTTGCTGCTGCTGCGGGTGCACAGAGGTCGCGTAGGAGGCGCTGTAGCACCTGAGATCCTGCATCCCATTGACCCCCGACGAAGCGGGTCCCGCCGACCCGCTGCCGCCATTGTAGCTCTCCATCTGCGACCTTCCGTGACCGCACGATCTGGATCTGAAATCTTCCATTAAGAATTCACTTAGCTCACACTGTCCTTCTCTCCCTCCTTTCTCTCTCTCTGGACTCTGGAGCTCGTCCACTGCAGTGGATAACAGATTGTTTGAATTTGGCAGAGAGGAGGGAAGAGAATCTTTGGGATCGTGGTTTGTCGCAGAACAATGTTTATTTATTTATTAGGAATTTTTAATGATATTTTTACTTTCTTATTATATTTAAAGAATGAATGGTGTACTACTCCTGGCCTCTTCTCCGCACTGGAATTTTTTTATCTTGAAAACGATTTTCTTGTACCATTCATTTTCTAAAAAGAAGTTTTAACGAAAAATTCGTGGTATTGTTCATTTTAACGAAAAATCATATTTTTACATTAAAAAATTATATCTTACTTTTTATTTTGTCCTTATCGTTAAAACTCAAAATTTTGAAACCCTTTTCATTAGTTTTCCTTTTTTAAAATTCAATCATTCATTGGTGTTACATTAATAATCAAAGAAAAAATAAAAACCATTCTTTTTTCAAAACTCATTTTAGGCATTCCCATGACTACGGAAAGAATTTACATGAAATAAGTTAACCGCTATGTGAGGTTCGTTGTTTAATAATGCATTGTCATATGTAGATTTTTTTTCACATGACATATATTATTGAATTAAGACGTTATATGGTTGTATACCCCTTTCCATATAAATTTGTTATCATCATGATCACAAAATTCTGTTATAACTAATTTAGACAAGTTTTTGTTTTCAATCAAAAAATAAATAATAAAAAAAAACTATTTTAAAGTGCTAATAACAATTCTTAAAAAAAAAAATGCAACTCAATAAATTAGAAGACTGTTTTCAAATGTTTATGGGCTCGTTTAACGCTTTTAGTTTTTGAGTTTCAAAAACACTTGAAGTACTTCCTACAAGAAACACAAATTACTTCTTGCAAAATGCACTTTAATTGTTTTTTAAAGTTCACTTACAATTTTACTAAAGATTAGTTCAAATAATACTTATACTAAAAACGCTTTCAACCTCTTTAAAAGCACTTCTAAACATATCTTATAATTTTTTATTGAGTGCGCACGCAGAATATCATGAAAATCATGTTGAAGTCGCGTTACATCAAAGATTCGAGATGTAGACCTTTCTTTCGACCCAAAGTAAAGAAAAAGAGATGTAGACATTTCAAGGTGGGGGTATATGATATAAGGGTGGGGACTGGGGGATGATATTGAAACCATTTCTTCAAATTTCCCAACTAAATATATACCGCAAAAACTAAACCAGGAGAAGACAGTCGTGGCTCTACTCACTGTTAGAGAAAGATATTCAAAATTGTATATAAAATCAATTGAATTAAAAAATATATATAAAAAAAAGATGAAAAACGTATGGAACATGAAAACGTTGAAACCAGAGGAAGCAGCTTAAGTTAGAGTTGCCTTGGACGAAGGAGGAAAGCCGGCTTATCGGAAGGCAACACCGCTTCCAGAGCGATTCGATCCCTACTTAGACAGAGACTCAAAACTTCAGTCGAGTTTCCCTTTCCGATTCATCAAGTCGTGGTAATACAGAAGCAGGCACATCGGTTGACCAAGAATGCAAAAGATGAACCAGAAGATCATATTTCCCACCTGGAAATAAGATTCAAAAAACACGATTAAAACATTATCGGTATTGAAATGGTATGAATTTGGATCTGTTGGGAAGTTTGGCGTAAGTGGATGAATAGAACTCAGACATGTAGAAAGTATATGTGCCCTCAACAATCCATAGAGCACGAACAGAGTACCGGAACTAGTTAAAAAAAATTAAAGGCCTACAGGTACTATTATTGCGGGGTTTACTTTCGAATATGTAGAATTTGGGGGTCATGGAAATTTCTTAGAAGAAACTAAGAACGATGCATTACACCCCTATCCCTCCAGCAGGACTGCTCCAGGTATTTAATTCTCACTAGAAACTAAATATGTAACTGGTGGCTAACGCCCAACTAAGTAGCCAAAACTATGCTACATTAATATGAGTTTTCTGCAAAAGTAAGCTTTAAAACAAGGACATACCATCGAGTTTCTGAATTTATTTTGCAGGTAATTTGTGATCAAGACAAGTGGTACCTGTGACGAAAACGCAACAAAAGAAAATTAGGACCATTGATCATCAGTATGAGTAGGACTCATGAATGTGGCAAGGAAACTAAAATGTTCTTGCCTGGAACATAATTCCGATAAAAGCCCACAACTTGAAAATGTGGCAGGGAACAGCTATGCATAGCTGGAGACAAGTCAAAAAATATTGGATAAGATAATAGAAACACAAACAGCTATGCAAGGTTCATTGTAGAAAAAAGCCATGACAATTCAGATCCGAGTAAGACACAAAAGGGGAAATATTTCAGATGACCCCCAGATAATGTTTCATGTGGAGTTTGCATTGGTGATCACGATGAGGAGCTCTGGTTCTAATAAAATGATATATTTCCATGCTCAAACTTAGTCTTTAGCCTTTGGCCCAAATCAAATGTTAAGAGTTCATATTGCGATTACCTAAAGGACATCGGAATTCATTCTTACGTGTATGGGTATTCTACTATTGTAAGGTAATCAGGAGTGTTTGATCAGCAATACCCTTCAATAAACAATGGTAGCATAACCCTTCAAGTTTGTGCTTGATAGCAATTACTTTACAAAAGCAAATTACCAAGTGTGCACATTCCTGGGTGGTGTACATCTAAATAGCTTAAGTCTTGGTTAAGTACTAAGATGATGATTCGCTTGATTCAAATGACATGCTTCAAAGCCATTCTTTCAGTTTCAAATCCTATAAGTTGTTCATATAATCATGACACCGTATCAAATTCCAGAATCCCACTTTCTACCAACAATCACGTTCCAAAACAAGAGAATGCTAATTCTCATTATGGACAATAGAATATGATGAAGGGAGGAGCAATAGAATAGTCCTTATCCTGAGGGAAAGGGTCACTAAATAACAACATTAAACTCACAGAAACAAAGCAAATACCTCATGAAATACGGCAGATACTAGGAAGGCGATTACGATGGCAACTCCCTGAATTCAAAGAAAGAAAAGAAAAACAAATTAGTTTTGTACTTTATAAAACAAATTAAATGTACATCCCTCACGCATCACTTAATATTGAAATAAAGAGAAATTAGATACCTTGGGTACTCCGTGGCGTAGGCATGGAAAATAGATATGGCGAACCATCCATTTATGAACAGGCTGAAATGAATACACCCAATCAGTATTAGACTTTCACTTGGGCATTAGCACAAATGAAAACTACAAGACCACAAGCGCTCTTTCAAATAAGTCAATATTTACTTATATAGTTATATACACAACTTTAAGTCTTCACTGCATCCAGCTGCCTCGTGAATAAGGCGAGCAAGAAAGAGAGGGTTTGTTATCATTGTAAAATGTAAACAACAGATACCATCTAACTGCGTTTTGTCATTACATGGCAGCTTTGATGACAATGAAATTGGGCTTATACAGCCTCTTTTCAGGCTTATAAGTTATAACGCTTATTAAATGATAATGCTAATACACCTATTCTTTGATACAAATTCAAACACATTAAAATCCAAACTCACTAGAGTCCTATAAGCAACTTAGATTCAAAATGAATATTGAATAAAAGTCAAAACAATAATTTATCGTAGTACTTTAAAGTATATGAGAAAAGATAACAACAGAATTAGAGTTAAACATACATACCATATTCCACATTCTCCAATACTGATGACAGGCCACCAGAAGACCCATGCAACAAAAGTAAACGGTAAAAAGTTTCAATTCAGCAAGGAGCTGCAATAATATAATCTAAGAATAAATTGCATATAACATAAAACGCACCTCCTCAACAGTTTTTGCGTTCCACCAATCTTTATAGAACTCCCGATCACCAAAACAAAGCAGCTCAGCAAGTATATTTAACCTATATTTATAACACTGGATGTAAGCATAAACTCAAAACTGAAATGAAAGTGCAAACTTAGAATAATAAGTATCTTCCAAGCAGCTATAGAGACATCAGAAAGAAAAAAAAAGGAGGATGATGAAACAAGACGTACCAGAGGTGGAAAAAGCAATAGAACATGCATAGCCACACATATAAATTGGGAACTGAAAGCTTCAAAACCCTCTCTATGGCATATAACCAGTCCCCCTTCAAAGGATGTTTTGAATTCTTGACAATCGGGTTAATGTACTGCAAAATATACACATGGCAGAATTCATCAATAATCAAAATTAAATAAAAGAGCATTAAAAGCTTGTTGAAAACAATAAATACCAACTTACTTGTTCTACTATAAATCCCATCACTCCAGTAAAAATGATCAACTTCACAAGTTGACGAAACACCCAACCTTTTCGAACACATGCTGTGCGAGGGTAACTAGTCTGAAACAAGGGTCAGATAAATCAAAATTAAATTCATTTCTCCATTAATCATGTAATGTACAAGTTTATCTCATATGATAAGAACCACAAATTAAAGACTAAAACATGAATTAGCATTCTTTCAATTAAGGATACCAATAATATACTGTAAGAAAATAATCATATTGTTTTCTGATGATTCATTTAATATCATTTTAAAATGAGAAAAAATAATTTAGCCATCTTCGACCTACATACTAATTAAACAATAATGAGTCGTGAAAATATATCAGTTACAAAGAAAATTAAAGCAGAATTCAAACATGTAACGGCAAAACTCACAACACCAGGTTGGAGCAAATATGAAGTTTAAGAGACCGCATGACAGTCTATAAATGAGGGAAAATATTGGTTCAATTTGTAACAAATGCGATATTCTCATTCATTTTTAAAACAGGCAAAGGAAAGGCCAACACATACAAGAAAAGGTGACTTAAACTGACTAAAGCATCAAAACTCAAAAATTTGTACTTTCTGAATAAGGATTGACGGATAAGAAAACCTAGGTTAATTTATGAAATAGTAGTGCAATTACCTGGTAACATAATGTTGGAGCGACCATAAAGTATGCCAAATTTTTTAAATTGTTACTATGAGGGTACTCTGTATTCAGAGAACTAGGTGTGGCATCCCCCTGCAATCAGTCAAGGTCTTCAAGAATTAGAAAACAATCATTTAGTAAGGACAAATTATTGACGAACATTAAACATCTCCTCGAGGAAGAAAACATCTATTAAGATTTAGGACCTTTTTAAACTTTCTTCAAACTTCATATTTAATCTAAAAAGCGGGAAAGAAAAGGACAATATTCACTGTTAAATAAAAACCTTATTCACAAGTTCATAGTTACCTTCTCAACTGCTTTGTGAAGTGCTCTCATATCATAGTTTGTGTGCACATAAGATACGAGTTTTAACCACACGATGCAAGCAAAGAGCATCAATGCAACACCAAATAAAACTGCAGAATCACACCTGCAGAAATGAAGTAAATCAAATAAATGCAACATTTCACTGCTATTCACATATTAGCCAGCTAAAAGATGTCATCAATCAATTTCTTTTTAAACAGCCTTTCCTATTACATAAAGACACAATCTTTCAGGCAGTATTTCCATCCAATGTCAATTTCAGCTTAAGTACTTATCCCCTTAAAGAAGTTTCTAAGATCTCCACAGAAACAAGCATCTTTCAAGAACTGGGTACAAGATTGCAAATCCAGAAAATACGCCAATAAATGAAAAGCACTGAAATACATGTCATGGACTAGAAACAAGAATGTAACAGTAAGAGTTCAAACCCAAATCCTCCAATCAGCACCATGGCCAAAATACAATAACTAGTTACACCTCCTACTAATACCAAAAATCGGGGAATGCAACTAATGGAAACTTAATACGCAGTGAGTTCAAACTGACCTGAGAATCACCACAACCGGATACAAAATTGAAGTTGTTGTAATGACTATATGAAGAGAAACAACAGCCTGCAATGCAAGACAGAAATTCAGATTTCAGATACAGAGTTGCAGAGACCTATTTTTTTAAGCAGTACAAAATGAGTTTCTCACAGCTTCAGATATACACTTTTGTTGCACTAACTTCTCAACTACAAAGGCCGCAAGTGGAAAGATAGGAAGAGTAAGGCTGCAAGTCAAAGAACAAAGAAGCCGAATAAATTTCCCACCACTTGTAATTCAAAGATGGTAACGATAATTAAGTAATTACTAAACCAAACACCGTATCGAAGCATAATAAAAGGAAACATTACCCGCACATAAAAAGTGGCCAATCTCGCAATGATCTTGAACTAAACCAGAAACCAGTTTTAATTAACCAACCATACTGCAACAATAATTGAACAGTCAGAAATCTCTATAAATGTCCGTAAAACAACATTATCAAAGGGCGTAAAATTAGCCGAAAAAACAAAGGACGCGGGCACATGGCAAACCTTCATTAAATTCTCGATGATTAGCCGGCTGTTTACAGCAACAAGTACTACTATACACAGATTGATGAGACCTGCATGGCTCTGCAAAGTGCAAACCAAACAAAAAAGATCAAAGCTTGCAATTAGCATCTCCTTCAAGCTCCAAAGAACGCTAAAAGACAAAAATTTGTTACCCGGCAAACGTATTTTCATTACTGGTAATTGATCACGGATTAACGACACTAATTACAAGTGAAATTAAGCAAGGCTTAAATACCTGTCTGAAGATGGCATCAGAGCTGAGAGGGCTCTCCTTAACTCTCCGATGAGCCGGAACGGACGGCCGATACGCGAATTTCACAGCCGAGGGATCACCGCCCCGATCATTCTCGCCGAGTCCCTTCTTGTCTTGAACAGCATTGACGGACTCAGCCGAGCCGTCAGAGCCTCCAATACGGCAGTTATCGCCCCCGCCGCCGATTTTGGCGCCAACCGAGTCATCACCGCCGGAGTCCCTAACCAAATCGTTCAAAGAATCGGATTCCGCCACGGTGGAGGCCGAGGGTCTGCGGCGTAGCGTGTGGTTGAGATCTGAGTCCGCGCGGGGGCTTGTGGTGGCGCCTGCGATGACTACTGCCTCAGGCGAATCCGCCATCGCCATGACACAACCGCCAATATATATGTAAATTATATGTAATATATGTTTTCCCAGAGAGATGAAGAAAGAGGGAGAACAGAGAGAGAGAGAGATTTCAGAGTATAAACGGGGTGCGAGATTTCAGAGAGTTCCTGTAGAGAGAGAGGGAGAGAGAGATTTCAAATGGAAAAAGATAAAGAGGAAGAATAAATGGGGTGTGAGAAAATTCGCAAAGTGGCGGTGAATGACAGGGAAAGTTGAGCGGTCTTTATATAATAAGCAACAAAAAAACACAGAGGGGAGAGAGAGAGAGAGAGAGAGAGAGAGAGCTGGCGATTGCAGGTATGATGACGAAGCGATGATGTCAGAGCGGGGGAGGGAGGGAGCAGGGGCGGTAGAAGGGGGAAAAACGACAAGCGGACGGTTAACGAAAAACAGTATCGTCGTGTTAAGAGTGTGACAGGGAGAGGGAGGAAGGCAGGAAGCTGCAGACCTGGTCCCGTGGAGCTTTGTGCATACAAACCGTTTCCCCGTCCTTCCTTTCCTTGGCTCCCGCTACTTCCAACCCAAATTAAGTAATTTAACTATTAAATTAACAAAACCAATAATATCATGAGACTAAGTTTTTAGACAAAATTTATAAATTATATGATTTGTCATCGATAGAAATGTGTACATTTATCAACGCTTAAATACTAATTCAACTCAATCATTTATACTAAAAATAAAGTACTAACTCAATCATTAACTTCTATATCATTTAATTTACAAAATTTTGTCTAAAAATTTAGTATCCCTAGCATAATCTAAACAAAATAGGTTAGCTTAAGTAAATCTTCAAAATATTTACGAAATTGTCGATACTACCTTCTAAATATATAAAATAAAATTAAAAAAAATCAAAGATCAATTAGAAGGTGTGAATGCAAACTTGACTCTATATCAGTGAGTTGATGTACACACCTTATTGTCAATTTTCACAAAAAACAACTGATATTAATGGACATGGATCCTCTCCGAATCCATTGGTTCTAATCCACCAAGTCACATCATCTGGGCCATTGAAATTTGATCAAACGGCTAAAGTTATTATAACTTTTAAAGTGAACCCCTATTTTTAGCCATTGAATTAAATTTCAATGGTCCGGATGATGTGATTTGGTGGATTAGAGCCAATGGATTCAGAAAGGATCTATATCAGATATTAAAATATCCATCAATATTTTCATAAAGTCGAATATTAATATTTTACTATATCCATATTTCAAACACTTTTAGGTTAGCATCGAATTAAAAGATGCTGATTTTTTATATGGGAAAGTACATTGTGAAATCAGAATAAATATTTGTGCAAGGATGTCCAACTGCAACCTTGCTCTCTTGATGTTCTCATTTTGAGGATATGTGAGAACCAAATGCATATTAACCACAAGATTATATCATTTTAGATTCAATGGCTTAAAATATTTGACAACTTAATCAAGCAAAACCAACTTAAAATCCTCAAACTATTAGAAAACTCATTTTCTTGTTTTGCGTTATTATGTTACCAAATATTTTTAGCCTTGGATATAAATTAATATAATTTTGTGACTAATAATGCATTTGTCCTCACAAGTCCTCAAAATGAGGACCTTATGAGAGCAAGACTCCGACTATGTGTATACATACTATGCCTCTTAGCAAGAGACCCTCCGCAGTAAGAGACATTTTTGAATGCTCTGAACTATCCGGTACATAAATGTTTTAATTGTTAAATTTTAGGTCTCATTCAGTGTGAAATTTTCTTACCATGCATCAACTATCTTCTCTATCTAAAATTTCTTACGTCATTTAATATTACGATTTAGTAATATTTTTTTCTAGTTGTAATTATAAGTATTAAGGTTCTACCCTTCATGGTCACTTCCATAGCAATGATTATGACTAGACAATTATGTTGTTTAGCCAAATTAGCAGAAGCTTAGAGTAAAAACCCAGGAATAATGCTTTTTGTGGGTCTTGATTTCGTCATCGCATTGCCTTCCATCCAATTGATGCCTTAGTCCTAATACATTAATAATATAATTATTGACCAAAAAAGAGACTTTAATAATAATATTGATAGAAAGCGACAAAAGGGAGGTACATGTAAAATCAAAACGCGGTTATGTCATTGTCGTTTCATATTAGAGTCAAAGGCCCGGTTCCAGAAGCAAGTTAAAAAGGCCGACACCGCAAACTAGATGTTGACTCCACAATTATGGTAAAGCTTAAAGACAGACTAACAGTCTTTCTTCTTCCTTAATTAAACAAGGAAATAAGAGGATGCCGATGATTAAGCAAAACGAAATTTTCTTACTTCTTCTCTAAGGAAACAAAGAAAACGCTTTCTCTTTGCACGTGTTACGACTGTGATTTAAAAGTAAGAAGAAACAACTCTTCTCATGCAAAGAGCCAACCGGTGTAATACATATATACCCCAACCCGCTTTGACAATACATAATTTGCACGGATAGGTAGGAGTCATTGTTACAGAAAGGCTTGCATGACAAGGGTACGCCAACACTGGCGTCCCCTATGCCAATGATACGACGTGCTTGTTTCTCTCAACATGAGATTGTATCATTAGCATGGGATGCAACTGTGACATGGTACTGTGACTGATGGGAACATACAACGGCACAAATAACATTCAAAACCAAATTTAAAGCAAAGAAAAATTCATACCTCAAAAAAATACATACATTAATAATATGGTAGAAAGTATGCAACAACAGATTGGCCACCACAACCAATTCAGGCAATGAAGGTTTTCACATTGCGAGTTTAACTTGTGCGACTTTAATTAATCCAACAACCATAAATTAAATAACTAGACTCTATAATAATATAAGAGAAGACACAAAATGGCGGGATGTGGCGGCCTCAAAGGACGAAAAACAGAAAATAAACTTCAATCAAAACAACACTTACTACCGGATTTTTCCCTGAGTAATTAAGAAGACAAAATCTCATCAGAGGAGATCAGCGACGTTCGATGGCAGCTCCTCCACAACCACGTTATAGAACTTCTGGATGTCGAACAGCATCCTCTCATCATCCTTTGTTACGAAGTTGATGGCAACACCCTTCCTTCCAAAACGTCCACTACGACCAATTCTGTGGAGGTAGTTCTCAGGCTGGGTGGGCAGATCATAGTTAATAACAAGGGAGACTTGCTGCACGTCAATACCACGAGCCAACAGATCAGTGGTGATCAACACACGAGATGAGCCAGAACGGAATTCCCGCATGATGATGTCTCTGGTGTTCTGGTCCATGTCTCCATGGGTGGCAGAAACTGTATGGTCTCTGCTCCTCATCTTGTCAGTCAACCAGTCAACCTTGCGTCGAGTATTGACAAAAATGACACTCTGGGTAATGGCCAAGGTCTCATAAAGATCGCAAAGAGTCTCGAGCTTCCATTCCTCCTTGTCGACATTGACATAGAATTGCTTTATACCTTCCAGGGTGAGCTCATCACGCTTCACTAGAATCCTCACAGGTTTGTTCATAAACTTCCTTGTGATCTCAAGAGCCTCAGGCGGCATTGTGGCAGAGAACACACCAACCTGAATCTTTGATGGAAGAAGCTGGAATATATCGTAGATCTAGATACCCAAAATAATTCGTATTAGATTTAGATAGAACTTTAATTACAAAATTTTATTGATTTCAGAAAACCAAAAGGAACTCCAATGGATGCAATATCTCAATGTAGCCAAGCCAAATAATTAAGCAACATATTGGTGGAGCAGGCTACTCTTGCTAGCTGTAGTGCAATCATACACAAAAAAAGAAAGTATCTATACAGAACAAGAGGACAGCTCAGCCACTCAACATAATTCATATTCTGAAATTTAAATGAATATTTCTAAAACGCCTGGTAGGGAGAAACATGAAAAGTAGAAAAAGCACAGTTACAAAAAAATTTCCTACCCGACAACCCAACAGAGCAATTACTTAGTCACAAGATATACTATTTATTGTTTCATCACTGCACATGAGAAGTTCATCATTTACCTAAAATATCATTATGCAGAACATAATGCATCCATAAAAATCAAGGGAACACATAAAACAAATGGACACAATTAAGTTGAAAACAGACCTGATCCTTGAAACCACGGGAAAGCATTTCATCAGCCTCATCCAAAACAAACATCTTGATGCTATCAGGACGAAGTGACTGCCTTCTAAGCATGTCAAAAACACGACCGGGAGTTCCAACAACAACATGCACTCCATTTGACAGAATGCGTTGGTCCTCACGGACACTGGTTCCACCAACACAAGCATGCACCCTTACACCTAGATAGTCTCCAAGAGCCCTCATAACCTTCTCAATCTGTTGAGCAAGCTCTCGAGTGGGTGCAAGAACCAAGGCTTGGCATTCTGTCAAACTATAATCAAGCTGTTGAAGGATACCGGAACAGAAAGTTGCTGTCTTTCCAGTTCCAGACTGAGCCTGCTGAATCACATCAAGACCCTTGCAGAAGGGAACAATTCCCCTTTGCTGAATAGCTGAGGGTTTTTCAAAACCTGCAAAAAGAATTATCGTTCATTCAATCATTCACCAGTCCATAGAAAACACAGAAGAAAAATGGAAAACTTCATGAAAACATTAAATTAGAAAAGTTCTACAATTTTTCCTGATATCATAAAATATATAACCTAAGAAAAAAGTAAAGGCTAGTTGTATCTACCGTAAGCGTAGATTCCCCTGAGAAGATTCTCTTGAAGACCCATAGCATCAAAACTATCATAAACTTCATCGTACGATGTAAAGAATTCCTGCCCATCAGTTGCAAGTCTGCATACAACAATTTACCAAACACAAGAGAAACAGTTAGCTCACAAATTGATATGACAAGTTATATTAAACAACATAATAAAGAAAACATCCAAGAGCAGTATTCGTAGACACCCAAAACATGCAGTTAATAAGTATAAACTGAGAGAATTCTTACAATTCACTCATTTTGGTATCATACTGACGAGTGTCAAATTGCGATCCTTCAGGTGCTGCTGCCATGACTGCAAAATTACAACAGATATATATTAAAAAAAAAGACACTGCACGAATCTTCACAATTAGTTCAGACAGCTATTCAAAGACGCTAAATTCTACAGATAAATCCATCGTCAAGCACTTTTGTATCAAAAAATTGTCTCAGATTTTAAAGTTCAAGCGTTGCTTCACAAAACGCATACCAAAAACGTTTTCCTTCCCCTCTCTACAAGGGTTTAAGAACTCAAAACGAAGTTTAAAGTTTTACATAAAAAACTCTTCTCTTTGGCACCGCTAATACGAGAATATCATAGAAATCAAGGCTTAAACAGCATTAGCAGCAACAATGCGAGAATTCCAAACATTCACAGGCATAACAAAACGATAAGATTCGCATCAAAATATATGAATAAGACGCAACGTACCCATAAAAACACCGAACTAAAAGATTTATGCAAAATTAATTCTCAAATCTAAGTAGCTTAAAACAATTTAAAAAAAGCAGAAATTATCCTACTGAATATTTAGGAAAAATCAAATCAAACAACAAAAAGACACAACAAATCAGCATCAACGGAGTACGGACAAAGGCCGATTCAGAAACTAAATGTTTTCGATACGAAAAAAACAACCCAGATAGAACCGGATCGAACAACGGCACGAGTGCAAAAAATACAAAGCGAAAAGGTACGGGAGGAAGACCTGCTGGTGATGAGTCAGAAAGTTGAAGGCGAAGAGAGATAGAGAGCAACGGAAGAGAGCTTTGTACTGGTTTTTCTGGAAATTAGGGTTTCCCAAACTCCTCGGATCTAAGCCGCGGAGTTAAGGAATGCGCGAAGGAGGAAGAGAGAGAGAAGGTTTGGGCGTCGGACGAGTGAGAGAAGTGAAAACTGTGCGAGTCGGTTTGTGATTGTATAGGGTTAATGGCAATTCGAAGGGAGTATGGTCTTCGCGTCCCTCCAGATTCGATTCGGGTACGTGGCGGGCATTGATTGGCGGGAGTGGAATAGGAGAATAAAACGTACTCTCTGAAACAAATTTGCACGTGTTTATGGGCCTCAATAAAAGATTAAGGCCCAATCGATTTTTTTTTTAATCAAATCCGTCTCAAAAACATGAAAGTAAAAGAAAGAATCCGTACCAGACGTTATCTATTCTTCTTTTAACTGCAAATTACAGTTTAACATAAACAAGACAATATCTCACATGCTCATTTTTACGTTCTACACACATTCTGTTAATTTATATTCTTTGATCTTCTTCAATTCATTCGATCTGACAACCTAAAATCGAAAAAAGCGCATAGAAGGTAAAAAAAATATGGGTGGATCGCGCTACCCTACTTCTTACATCCTTACTGTCCGAATACTTTTTTCCTTAAGAAGCTAAAAAATTGGGCCAATTAGTAATTTAACAACTTTTGCGGTTTAAACAAGGTCGGAACAAATTTTACAGCTTCTAAAAAAATGTGGTACTCTCGGCAGATCCATGCTTTACAAGATTTACCCACAAAAACTTTTCCAAAGTGGCCACGCAATACTCTTCTTTCAACTGCCCCTTAAAACTGCAGGACAAGTGAACCCTTTTTAAACACATCGGCAGCCAAATGTGCACAAGTGACTTCCGAACTGCGATATAACATCCACAAGACCACCGTAACCTCCTATTGCGATAACCTGGACAAAACAATGGTTCGTTGACGTGAGAACTAAAAAACATATTTTGATAATTAATGAGTCCCAGACCATGTCCCTCAGCATGCTCTTTCATTTGTAATATTGGCATTAGCAGCTAAGTAAGAATATTTAAGGTTTATGCTAGATTATTTTTATTACTTGTGTCCATCGACCTACTTTGATATGCATAATCTTTAAATCCAAGGATACTGCTGGTAAGACCAACATTTAAGACAGAAAACGCCTTAGTATATGTTACTAACAAATAATAAAGGGTAAAGAGCCATCAAGGTAAACGTACCCCAGATGGATGTAATGAGACGGAAAAGGCAGACTGAGGAGCACATTGCATTTGTGATAGAATTGCCCCATTTATGTCATAACGGCAAAGTAGAGGTTCCGCTCCAACTGCTAATACCTGGAAACGAGAAGCAACAGTGAACTTGGGATATTGGATTTCCTTCGTGCCTCTTCTACAAACTAGCATTTCTTTAGAAGTTATAACAGGCAACCCCCCAGGCATAATGTATTCTTATACTTATTGCTTGCATCGAGTATATAAACATGTTAATTCCAGCCCCATTCGTTGGCATTGAAATTTAGGGACAGTATCACTGTATCATCATCTAATACCCTAAAGAGAAATCACTGCTCATTTGCTGATATCTTACCAATTCAACTTATCCAATTAAGAAACTTAGTTCAACATCCTTATCAAATGAAAACCAACAGAGTTACTGCTCACACCCTTTTTCTTGGAAACGGGAAATGGCACCATTAGAAAATTCACTCCCCCCTAAACTAAAATATTCTTGTTAATAGCACTAGATGCCAACAGTATTAACTAAATTAATTAATAGAGGGCTGAGGGGGGATCTCACTTGATTTTCGTCGAATACTACATCCTGAATGGATGCATGTATTGAAACCCTTGAAATGCATTCAGAAGCAGGAAGGTTCCAAACTGATAAACTCTGATCGCTACCACAAGCCTGCAGAAGCAAAAAAAACTTAGTACGTTATAGCATAGCAGCAAGAAACTTCAACAGAATTAGTTAATGATACTAAAGCAACTACATTCTCATCACATAAATGCTTACCAACCAGCTTTCACTTGCACCAAGAGCAATGCAACTAACGCATGAAAAAAAATCCTTTCAATTCAATACCCTTGGCTGGCTCATATGCTTGAACGCACTTTCCACTATTGCAATCCGGGTGAAACCATAAACACATGCTTCTAAGAACAAGTCCATGTGACTTAATACAAAAACATACTAACTGTATAGGAAAACAATAAATTCTTAACAACTTTCTGCCACAATCCTTCAAAATTGAAAAAAAAGCTAAGTTTTTACCCCATATCCGTGCTGTCCCATCCTCTGAACCAGTTATGATCTGAATACCGGAAAAGATAAAAAGAATCATATTCAGAGAGAAAAATACTGCACCAAATCTAGTACCTCAATACACAGTGCTACTAATGTAATTGTAATTCAAATACTTGTCGCTCCAATTGTACTAAAAGGGGTGGTTGTTTGCATAACAATTAACATAACTCAGAACAAAGAGAAGTGACAGGAATGATCAACCGAAGACAAAGAAGAATATGACCTGACCTGATTGGTAGAATTCCGAGCAACGACAGAATGCACATAGTCTGCATGCCCCTTGAAAGTCATTTTGACTTGACCTCCTTCCTGAAACATTTCCGATACAAATCATGCTTCGATCAGTGCAGCTAGGAAATTATATCGAGAACAATGTAATATGCAAAAATGTTTCTCAACAGACACTTTGTAACACGATTGAAGGATTCACCTTGAACAAATACATACCACATCCCAGCAACAGATGCAAGAATCACCAGCAGCAGAAAAAATGCATCCCTCCTATCGTTGCCAAAGAGATGTTAACGCACTCATTTGAAAACATGCTACTTTCTATACTCATAAAAATAATTAACTTAAAAAATAAAACAAAAAGACACATAGGACTAGAAAACCTGCATGCCTCGTTATTAACAGCAAGAGCATTGTTTTCAGGGATTGGAGATAAAGCCCCCCATGGACCTCTAAAAAGACGGCAGTAATTTACAAGAAATGTCAAAGGAAGTAATACTGGTGGTGACTTATCATAACCCATGTTCGAATCAATATTAACACAATCAGGGGAACAAAAGAGTTGCCACCACGTATTTTTTTCGCTTCAGTAACTTACGTATGTTGAGGATTCACAAGGTCAAGTACTGGCTTCACGTGCTTTCCTACATAAACAGGAAAAAACAATGTAAATAAAGTAAATCTTAATCCATAGTGTTAGAACCACATTCAAAATTCACACACCAAAACAACATATCAGATTAAAAAAACGCAATGCAATGTTAGTGAAATAGGTTTAATTCGCACAGTATTTAAGCTGTCAAAAACCAAAATCACCTTGCAAATGAAGAGGCACATATAATTCTTCGCAATCCTTCCACCTCCATCCTTGAATCCGTCCATCGTCACCGCAACTACATGTAAAAACTCCGAGAAAAAATCAAATGGTGTAAACATGCTGAAACGAAGAAATTACTAAAAGAAAATAGTTCTTTCTAGTCAATCTAGTCTGAACATACAATCCAACCTCAGCAAAACAGAATCTTCGCCATTTCCGTAAAACTTAACATCGTAATCAGGCCCTTCATGCGCTTGAAGATAGCAAGTAGGTTCCGCCATTAACAACCTACAACCAAAATTCAAATTCCACCACAAGTAAAGCAAAAATCAGCTGCTATCAACAGTCAATACGATGTCGAAGGAGCACAAACAGTGTAAAGGTCAGGCAATACTTACTGTGGAGCTTTCACATTGCTAAAACCCAGTGGCTGCACCCAAAATCCAAACACAAAAATTACAAAAAAACTTAAATAAAAAAATGGGGACGTTCGAGCTTGGAGATGAGGTAGGGGATGGAGTAGGAGGGACGACGACGGTTTCCGGGCTAGGGTTAAGCGACGGAGCCCAAACGGTTCGAAACGGTTCGGGTTTGGATCTCCCTCTCCTTTAATACGGATTCTCTGTACACTTCTTCGTCCCAGTTCGTTGCGTCACCGTACATGGTGGTTGACTTGGTGGCGGAAGGCAGGCAATTCAGCTGAGCTTGGTGAAAATCTCTGAGCATTTTTCAGTCTTTGGCCATGGCTCTGGTGGAGCGGAAATCAAACATGGACTAACCGGTTTGGCGCAAATCATAAGTGGGCTGGATATGGAAGAACACATGTTAATGGGCTTTTCTCGTGTGTACTGTAGGCCCATGGCCCAAGCTTTGGTTCGGTAGGGAGGGTGGAATCCAACTTGAAATGGCATTTAATTTGTTTTTGTAATATTTTACGCAACTCCCCCAATAAATCCTAGTTGCATTTCCTTCTCTATCTTCGCTCTCACGTGATAGCTAATTGGGATAGAAATTTCAAAAAACATTTTGTATCCGACATAAATTTGTTTGAAAGTACTTTTAAAACGACAATTCTAGAAAAGTAAGTGCTTTCTAATAACTGGTGTTTCTTCCAAGAAGTAAGAAGCACTTCAAGTGCTTTAAGAACTTAAAAATATTCTTTCTAAAAGCGGTCTCAATTATTTTAAAAACACTTTCAAACGAATTGTTATCTATATTAATTTAAAATAATTAAAGTAATTTTTAGAGTCAATTATAGTTAATTGATAACAATACGTGACAATGAAACCGCGGTATTTATTTAGGATTAGGATGTAACAAAGGGTTGAATCCCTCAAATGTCACTAAAGAAAAATGGATGGCAAAAATAAAGTTTAGTCGATGAAAAGCATATAATGGCAAAGTCCCTCGTTGGCGAATATGCTGCGGAAACCCGTACAACAACGCAACTCCTCGTATTCTCCCCAACCCCAGCGGCAACTTTAAAGCCGCTTGCTTCCACCAAAAACCCTAGCGATTCTCCTTCCTTTTCGACGAACCCGAATCGAAATCAGGATCTGTTAAGCCCTAATCGCAGCAATCTCACGGCATCGCGAGCTCCGTCCGCTGAAACTGTGAGTGTATTTCTTGCTCTTCGCGTTAAATTTAACAGATCTGTTAGCTTACTGCTGAGTTGATCAATTACTTGTTCGTGTGGATTTTTACTGTCATGGATCGGTTTTAACATAGGAATTGGATTAAAAAGATTAATATTGGGGGGTTTTCTGTGGAATTTGCTATTCTTGAAATGTTGGTATGGTAAATTTTCCCCCATTTTTTGATCGGTTGGATTTGGTTTGCTTGTTCTTGATTTGTATCTGTTGTTTTATTTATTTTTTTTATTCAGATAGCAAAGAATTTCGGTTAGGAATCGATTCGATTAAGTAATTGCAATGAGTGATAACAATTCTCCACCTGGGTCTCCTAAGGAGGCAGATCATGATTCTGATGCAAACCAACTTGTTAAGGATGATAGCTCATTGGAAACCATAGTCCGAAAGTTCCAAGATTCGATGTCGGTTGGAAAAAAGCACGCATTTTGGGAGACTCAACCGGTTGGGCAGTTTAAGGATCTTGGGGATGTGAGTTTGCCTGAGGGACCGATTGAGCCCCCTACTCCGCTGTCTGAGGTCAAGCAAGAGCCGTACAATCTGCCAACTCAGTATGAATGGACCACGTGTGATCTGGACTCCGAAGACACCTGCACTGAGGTCTACAATCTGCTGAAGAACAATTATGTCGAGGATGATGAGAACATGTTTAGGTTCAACTACTCGAAGGAGTTTCTTAGGTGGGCTTTGCACCCTCCTGGTTACTACAAGAGCTGGCATATCGGGGTTCGTGCAAAGACTAATAAGAAGCTGGTTGCTTTCATTACTGGTGTTCCTGCTAGAATCCGGGTCCGTGATGCGATCGTGAAAATGGCTGAGATTAATTTCTTATGTGTGCATAAGAAGCTGAGGTCGAAGAGACTTGCACCAGTTATGATCAAGGAGGTCACGAGGAGGGTGCATTTGGAGAACATATGGCAAGCAGCTTACACAGCTGGAGTTGTTCTTCCAACTCCGATAACAACTTGCCAGTACTGGCATAGGTCTTTGAACCCAAAGAAGCTTATTGATGTTGGGTTTTCAAGGCTTGGTGCGAGGATGACTATGAGCCGAACCATAAAACTATACAAGCTGCCAGATTCACCCTCTACTCCTGGATTCAGAAAAATGGAACTTTGTGATGTTCCTGCTGTTACTCGGCTGCTTAGGAACTACTTGAGCCAGTTTGTGGTCGCACCAGATTTCGAGGAAAATGACGTCGAGCATTGGCTTCTTCCGGAGGAGAATGTGGTGGACAGTTACTTGGTTGAGAGCCCAGAGACTCATGACATCACTGACTTCTGCAGCTTCTACACTCTTCCTCGTCTATCCTCGGCAATCAGACGTACTCAATCTTGAAGGCTGCATACTCCTATTATAACGTCTCCACAAAGACTCCATTGCTTCAGCTGATGAATGATGCACTCATTGTCGCAAAACAGAAGGATTTCGATGTTTTCAATGCATTGGATGTCATGCAGAATGAGTCGTTTTTGAAGGAGCTGAAATTTGGACCTGGCGATGGGCAACTTCACTACTATCTCTACAACTACCGGATGAGGAACGCATTGAAACCCTCGGAGCTTGGACTTGTACTCTTATAATTTTTCCGGTCTTGGTTTTGCACCTTGAACTTGACAAATCATTTCTGTTTCTTTTTTCGTTTCCTTTTTCGTGGCTAGCTGTTGCTTTCATTTGCCTTTGCTCCTTTGGATTAGCATCAAAGAATATGAGATTTTGTAATGCATTTTACCTGTAATGCTTAGGGTTTAAGGTGTTTTGCAATTGAAATGGTTACTTTGGAGCAAAAGTTGAGCTTATATTTTGAACATTTTCCTTTGTTTGATTCTTTTTGGCCTCTTCATTTGGATCACTGTTTATTTTACTGCATGTTTCTGCATTTCATTCATCCTTCCCCGCAACATGAAGAAGGCACGTTGACTGCGGGGAGAGGAAATCAAGCCTAGGACCTCCGGTAGACGAACAGTCCCGGAAAGTCAATCTGAGTTAGGCTCAAACTCGTCATTCATGTGGGTTGGATACAAGACCTTCCGCTTATAGGTGAGAAGGACTAAACTGTAGTGTTATAGCGGCGTCGCGATTAATTTTAAAAACAAACAAATCCACGATATATAAGTGTTTAGTGAGTGTAAAGCTGTAGCTTAATCAATCGACGTAATCATAAAACTACATGACTAAACCAGTGACATTTTCCAGCCAAAAAAATATAAGAGCGTGTGATCTTTGATAGACAGATAATTCAAAAACAACTCTCCATATCACCAGACACCAGGTCCGGTCTGAAGCGGTTGTATAACACTATTATTAGCAAAATGAGCGAAAGATAATTTCGCTTCGGTTGCACCTCGGTTGCGAAAGGAAGTATAGCGAAGAAACTTTACAAGCTCTAATCACACGATTCATATCTCACGCCACCATCAGGACTTCACCTCTTAACCTGTCAAATTTGGAAATCGTTCAACATAGAGTCAAATGGAAGTGGGAAATCTATGCAAATGGATGCAAATAATTCGGAATTTTGGATGTTACATTGCTCCAAAATCTCCTTAGCCAACTGCATCATTGATTCTGTGTTTTCAGCCATAAAATAAATCCTCTCTGCCTCTTTCATTTGTTCAGCTGCCAAATATGATCTGTATTCTGCTTCGGCAATGCTATGTGCAGCAGCCCGTGCTGATTCCTCTAACATATCACTACTAACACTCACGGTATCAGTTTTCACCTTGTAGCAGTTTTGAATCTGCATTAGGATGAAATAGTAATTTATATAAGCTGATATTCAATATCGATTTTATAAAAAACAAAGCTTGCGAATCAAACATCGATAGAGCCAGATAAATCCTGGGTTACAAATATCGAGTGAATAACTTGAGCTGAAAAATACTAGAAATATCAAGCAATCACCTTTTCAAGTTTGTCTTGCAGAACCAGCCTTCTCAACCTACCAGTTAATGACCTTCTAAAATTTTGGGGGACCTCAATCCTTTGCTGCAGGAGTCATTTTATCATGCAAGTTAAGTGATTATAAAACACAAAAATTAGTATCTAACATTAGCACTTCATGACAATGTAAGCAGGGGTAACATCGTCAGAGACATCAACCATGAATTGGAAGCTTTTCTTTGTAAATTCTTTTTTGAAAATCTCATTCTCACCAGCAAAGAAGTATAAAAAATATATCTGAAGGTAACCCAAAAATATAATGAGCTCAACTGGTATTGAAATACTAACTTCGATTCAGGTATTATCTATCAAGTAGCTAATATGAGAAAGAATAGGTTTAGGGAACTTTTATTGGCACTCCAAAAATCTAATTGTGCACTCCTCATAAGAGTAATTTTCTTTCTAAATATAAAGAGTTCGGAGTGCCAATAACAATTCTCTACCATAAAATGCTATATTACTAAGAAGTAAATTAAGTCGATGTTTTGCAAGTTGCAACTCTAGCATAGGGACATGTGATGTACCATGATTAATTGAAACATAAATCTACAAGAGTTTATATACGAGCAAACTATTATCCTTCATGCAAGCAATTATCATTTCATGACCTTATCACTCCTGTCAACATGAGAATATACAGGTTCCTACTCAGACAACCAATTAATAAAAACTTAGAAGATTCTTTTTATTTCATTTTTCAAAAAAAAAAAAAAAAAGACATCACAAATTTCAAGCATACCTCAATATAGCTAACAATAGCACTAGTGTCCAATCCATTTGGATCTGTTGAGGCTGAAAGAGCTTCAAAAATCATTGCATTGCACCTAATAACAGAAAAAGCAAAAAATATTGACCAAAATGAAATTAAAAACTAATACTAATATTGATAAAAGTACTCTGGCTATTGGAGGAACTGAATTTTATTATATGCAACGGGTAAATGTAGGTAAATATAACACAAGGTACAAAAAAATCATTCAATATACTTTGTTTCTTTATTGTAATCAACAGATCTTATGTTTGAGAGGCTAAAAATTAATAAAGCAAAATTTATGGCTAACCCTGGACTACACCATCATACAATATGGTTCCGGAAGAAAGCAATGCAAGCCGCCCACACGGCTAATTGTTGCATCGAGTAAAAATTGTCGCAGAAAATAG